CTCCAAGAACAGTCACAAACCCCAAGACTTCATCTTCCCTCCTCCTCCTCCTCCCTGCCTCCTGTCGCATCCCTCCACCCTGCGTTCCTCCCTCGTCATCCATGATCATCCGCTATGGTGTCTTCTCTCTCTCTCTCTTTCTCTCTCTCTCTCTCTCTCTCTCTCCCTCTCTCTATATATATATGTGTATATATCCCTCCCTCTCGCCCTCTCTCTCGCTCGATCTCTCTCTCTCTCTCTCGCTCTTTCTCTCTTTCTCCCTCTCGTGTTCTATGTTTCTCTTTCTCATCATGCATCTTCCACCCCTTCTGGTGGACCCGTTCAAATGCTCAATTGCATGTCGCGGAAAAAGGAAGCACATCGGCGTCGTCCCCATCTTCCTCCTCTTCCTCCTCCTCCTCATCATCGTCCTCCTCCTCCTCCTTATCATCGCCCGTAGCCATGTTGGCTCAAGCCAGCTTGGCTCAAGTAATCCAATCCCCAAGGCAGCTGGCCACGACAGCGTCCGCGGCGCCAGTGGCAGCCAACACCGAGGCCGCTGGCGTCGCCCTTCGACTGATTTCGCAGGACCGACACTGTACGTTCGTTTGTTTTCGCCCCCTTATGCTTGCTGAACATTTCATGCAGGGCGACGAGGCCTCTGTCTTTTGCAACTCTCGGGGCCCTTCGGCTCGTCTCATTCGCTCGCATCACGACGCAAGTGCGACAAACAAAGGCGCCGTCTTCATTCGCGCGCTCATCCTTCACCTGGGTCTCTCAGCGGAGCGCTCGGGCTACGTCTGCTTCGCACTGTGGTGCTGTCGCCGACTCGAGAGCTCTGGATGCTCATCGTCATGACGGCGTTCATCGGGGCCCAGGTGCTACGGTCCATCCACCCCTGTCGGCTGCAGAAGCCGCCAGGCTTCCCGATGACCTGGAATCGGCACCCTCTTTTCCTGACGGACATGGGCACGCGCTTCCCGCCGCACCTCCTGCTCTTGCCCGCGCTGCTTGGCCTGACCTCCTACAGCGTGGAGGAGACCCCTGGCGTGCTTGACGTGCCCCTTTGGGAGTTCGAGCTTCTCCTCGCAATGTTGGCCAGTTGTTGGCAGACGAGGTCGAGGCCGCGGTCAACAGCACCTTCGCTTCGCAGATGGAGGACGTTCGCACCGAGGTCAGTGGCATCATGGGGACGGTTCACAATGACATGCGCAACATGGTGGTCGGCCTCCTGCACCCACAAGCTACCCGACTGGACCAACATAGTGACATAGTGCTGACATCCGTGATCTTCAGGAACGCGCTGCCACTGTGGAGGCCCATCTACAGGCGCTGCGCTCTGATATGGACGAGGTATAGAGATCTTTGACACAAGATCGTGAGATTGACTTCGCTCGCCTGGCCACTCACGACGGGCCACCCGACCCTAGCATCTTCAGGACTGGCTGCGCGCAGCCCACCACCTAGGACGAGGTCAAGAAGGGCATCGCCACCTGGATCCTCGACACTGGCATCACACATAGGCTGTATTCGCTACACGGGCAGTCGCCTGGTAAAGTTTTCTTCCGTCATCTCCATGGGGGCGCCCATGGTGTTGCTCGCGGTCGCGCTGTGCGACTGGCTCAGCAGCTCCAGCTTCCCGGAGGAACGCAGCGCCGATTTACGGCCCGTTCCGTCAGCGGTGCCCAGGACGCGCTCTTCATCAACCCCGACAAAAGTCCGAAGCAAGTCCGGCGTGAAATGCAGAGCAAGCGGCTTCTCGAGCGTTTTCATCGCGCCAAGCCCCAGCAGGGCTGGCGATTTCTACGTGCGAGAGGGCTCACCAGTGCCGACTCGATCCCCATCGTGGAGGTCGCCCCCCAGGGCCTCAACGAGCCGACCAAGTTTGCGTGGTCATTTGAAGGCACGGCTCAGCTGGAGCTCAACTCCGCCGTTCCAGGGTGTGGGCACTTCTGCATGGTCGTTAATGTCCTAGCGAACGGTGGCTGCCTTGGAAGATTGACTGCAGCGGCTCACAAGAGTTTCGGGTGGCAGGCTGGAATGCACGTGGCCCCTGATGCTACAAACACAATCACCGCCGGCACAACTTTCAAAATCTCAAGCGTATCTTTCTCCCTCGGCGCGTCATCTGTCTCCGGGAAATCCATGGCAATGAGATCCCCCTCACTGGTCTGTTCAAATCATTTGTCTGCTTGTAACCCCTTGACAGACACTGAGGTGAGGATCATGAATGTTCACAACTACGGCATCCCTCGAGAATCTCGTGGGACCACCCGTGCTCGTTGGCATCAGAATTTCTCATGGGCTCAAAGTGACGAGCTCTCTCGTTTGGCCGCCAACGTGAGCGACTTCAACGCGAGTGATAATGTCAATCAGTCCCTGTTCTTCCCGCAGAGGCGCCAAGCCAGATCATCTCGCGACGGCCGCGCATCTCAGGCTGAGCCCGTCTGGCGTGACCTCTTTGACCATGGCACGCTAGAGCTCGATGGGTCCGCCCCCCACACGCCACGCCCGTTTTGCGGAGACCCTGAGCACGACCGATCGGTTTTATGTTTCGCTGAGCACGCATGTCGTCACCGATGGCGACGCTACTGCTGATGTCATCCAGGAGGCGCCTCGCCTGCCGGACTGGGTTTATCCGACCACGCTCTGCCGCCGCTGCGGTCGGCCCCGAAGCGCCCGCCCGCTCGGAGATGCGCTTTATCCCCTGTTGTTTTCCAAGCAGCCCAGGATCCTTCAGAATTGCGTGGATTGCGCCAAGCTGGACGAATTCGGCACCAACGCCAAATGGCTGCGCATGACGGAGCTGATGCACTTGGCCGCTGGCTTCACTCGTGACGAGCTCCAGAGAGAGCTTCGGCCGCCTGCTCGCATTGGGGCGGCCGAGCTACAGTGCATGACGCTGCGGGCCATCTCTCGCGCGGCATGGCGGCAGGACGTTCGGCTCGCTCGCCGCCTGCGTCGGTCGTCTCCGCTGGCCGAGCATTTCGTGAACATCACCGAAGATGACGTTGCCTACATCGCGCATCCTGCCGAGCTCCACGAGACGACGCTCGCCACCAACCAGCAGCGTTTTGAGGAGGTCGCCCAGGAGGCTGCGCGCGCCGCTGGCCGACGCGCCCGTCACCAGTCGGCGCCCAGCGACGACCCGCCAGCAGGCATTCCTGAACGCGCGAAGATTCAGCCGACATCGGCGCGGCATGCGCTGGCGTGGAACCCCTCGCGCAGGCGCCTGGCGCCCAATGGCCTGAAGCACACGGTGGGCGGAGGCGACTCTGTCTGCCGCGACGCTTCCGAGATGAGCGAGATGATCAGGTCGCACTGGCAACCCATCTTCGCGGCGGCGTCGGGCTCCGAGGCCGCCATCTCTCAAGATCTCGACCGCCACCTCCCACCCATGCCTTTGCTGACCTCCCCGACCATCCCCGATGACCTTGCGAGGGCTTTAAACCGTGGGAGGGCTTCCTCCCTTGGCCCTGGCCGCCTCCCATACAGCGCGTGGAGGGCCCTTCCAGCTGCCGCAGAAGTCTTGTTTGAAGTTATGCCACGGTTGTTTTCTGGCGGGGGCCCTGTCGAAGGTTTGAATCATTCGGACGTTGGCTTGCATCCCTAAAGGTGAAGATCCCAAGACCCCACCGATTGCTCGAGGGGCGTCAGCTGCCAACGCCCGCTGAATTGAAAAACACTGACAGCAAGGCCACAGCCAAGCAGCATGTTCACCCCATGCAGCAAGGATTCATCAGCGGCCGAAACTTCGGAGCGCACATCGCCAACCTTGATGCCGAGGCCCGCCTGAGCAGTATCGGTTAGGATGCTCCTGCTCGTCGCCTGTGCTTTATCTCACATGGTATACGCGCCGCGGTTCCTAGCATGTTACAACAGTGGCTCTTCGCTGTCCTCCAGAGGCTTAACCTTCCCCGAGGATATCTAAATACGATTCGGACTCTAGCGTCAGATAGTGCTGGCGTCTTGAATGTTGGGTCAGCGAGGCACCCCGTCTTTGAAATTTCTCGCGGGGCCCCCCAGGGTTGTCCTTTAATTGGCACGCTATGGGCCCTGGGGATGGACCCTACCTGTCGCCACCTCGCCGCTGCTTGCGAAGTTGGCAATGAAGCCCTCGCTGTTCAGACTCCGCCCCAGCGCCCCCGAGAGGAGCGCGCCGAACAGGTAGTCTCAACCCTTTCCCTCCTCCTCACTGCTGGTGCTTGTGCCGACGATGTGGGCGTCTCTCTCCCTGACCTCTCCTTGCTTCCTCTCCGCAGCCCTCCCTTTCGAAGCGGCTGCCGAGCTTGCCAGTCTCGATCTCCAGCCCAAGAAATGCTGCCTCGCCCTGACGCGGAAGGTTCTTGGTCCCTGCCTTGGTTGATTTTGACATGTGTAGCTTCCGCCGATACCTCGATGTTCACGTGCCACTCTCGAGGACCAATTCGCCTCAGGAGGCCAGAAGTGGCGGTCCCGACGCAGGCGCGTGGCGGGCACGCGTTCGCCGACCGGCGCAAGCGTCCGTTCGCATAGGATGTTCATTCTTCAATGTTTGTCGCACCGCTCAGTTCTTCCCTCTCCCGACCCGTCTGCTGCAGCGCGAATCCCACGCTCTGCACAAACTGCTCCGCCTTCCGCCCCCCTCCATTGCCTTGCATGAACTGCACTTTCTGCGCTGGCTCAGGACCCCAGAACCTGTGAAAAAGATGGGGGTGTCACGTATGAGGAGGGCGGCGGGGAGGACCTTCAGAGGCTGGGGTCTTGTGCTTGCGAGGCTCCGCAAGCGTGCCTGGAGCGTTGGAAGCATGCCGCGGGCGATCGCTCAGAAATCGCGCGCATCCTGTTGGCGCATTGCATCAGGTATCGTCCAGTCCTTCTCCTATTTCTTCTCCCCCATCGGCGCTCCTCTTCCCTGCTACCCCCCCCCCATCCTCCGCAATGCCCACTTCGCTGCTGAATCTGAGGCCCAGACCGGTCTGGTACAAAAAAAGCCTCCCCGATGTCAGTTGCGATACTCTCTCAGCATTTGGCTACATACTATTTGCTTGCTCTGATCGCTCGGAGGCTCCGAACATGGTTCCCTGATCTGCCCGTGCTAGAGACCCATGTCAGTGGGCTCCGCTGGAGGCGTCTCAGAGACTTGCTGTTTAGACAGGCTCCCAATCGGTCGTGGCCTCGCATGAAGTCTCTAGTGGGCGCGTGGATAGCGTCGGGCCGTGTGGAGACTCTTTTGTATTGTCGGTGCCGATTTGGATGTAAGGCCCACTGCATTATTTGCCGCCCCCTGTGGGAGGCGACCGAATTCCAACCCGAGCTCCCCCCTTTGTCCGAGTCTCCTTTGGTGCGTCTTGGGCTTGGTGCTGAGCTCGACTACACGGGTTTGGAGAACGGGCGCCTCATAGAGCACCACATGTTTGCTTCTGCATACCACATTTACCACAAGCTCCGTCTTCTGCTGATCCAGCAGAGTCATGCGAACCCAGTTCAATTCAGGCACGCGCGCGCCGCTGCGCGCGCTGCCTCAGGCATTCGAGTGGCACTGACAAGGAAGGTACGTGCGCCCCTCCTCATCGTCATCATCCTCTCCCCATCATACTCAGCATCAGCAGCATCATCTGCTGCATAACCATCACTATCATCACCAGCAGCAGCAGCATCATCATCATCATCATCACCACCATCATCCGTTAAAATTGGAACGACGCAGAGAAGATAACAACACTCACCCCGGCAAGAGGAGGAAGCCAGAAGGCCGAGCCCTCGGCGGAGGAGCTCCGCTGCAAGTTTCACCCTCGCCCCGCGAGCCCACCCAGGCCGCCCAGCCTGGGCATTCCGCCCTCTCCGACCGCCCCCCCACCCCACCCCACCTCCCGCCCCGGAGAGACCCGCAAGAAACAGAGAATCAATGTACAAAACAACCAAAAAGTGTCTGGTTAGCTTTCGGCCCCCGGGGAGCCCTTGCCAGGCCCTGGGACCGGCGAGCTGCTCGACATGAAAAGCTGGCCTTGGGGAAGGGGTCCAGACCTCCTGGGGCCCACGTTGGGAAAAAGTCATGCCGTCGGGGTGCTGGGCCCTCCTTCTCGCCGCTCCCCGCTGCCCCTCGCCGTCCTTCGAGCCTCGAAGAAGAGAAGACCGAATGCAGTCAGCCCGCACAGGAAGGATTAGCGACTGTCCAAGGTTGCCCTTGCACCTCTCTTCTTCGGCCCATCCCTGGCCGCTTTCGCTGGCCGCGCCACACCCGCCAAGTGTCGACATGGCCTTCCGAGGCCCCTGCGTCCTTATCTTGCGTCCGTCTATTCTGCGGGTTGACTGCAGGCATCAGCTTTCGGAACTCCGCGCGGTTTTCTTGGGTCGGCGCCAGGGCCCCCCTGCCGGCGCCTGCCGGCGCCGCCCCCTGGTGCGATCCGCGCGCCAGGGCAGCGGGGCGGCCCAGGTCGCTGACGCAGGGAAATTCGCGCGGCCTGGCTGCCCCGACGCGCGCGTGTTGGACTCGTCTCACGCACTCGCTTCAGGAGGGGAAAAAACACACAGACACAATGAATCGTCGACCCCCAGGAAAATATGGGAAGATATGGGAAGTGGGGGGGAAGACGAAAACCCAGAAAATATATGAAAATATTGGGGAATCCTGTTACTCGTGTGTATTTATGTGTGTGTGTGTGTCCCTGGGCCCCTTCATCGTTGGCCCACGTTTTGGCGATCGTTTCGCGCCAGACACGTCTGCAACGTGTACGTGTTCCAGCGAAGCGTAAGACTCGAGTGCTCCAGAGTTCGGGTTGGCCGACGCTTTTCGACGAGCTCGTCTTTTTTTTTGACTGTCGAGCTCTCGTGGGATGTCTGCAGCGGGAGCTTGCGTCAACTTTCAGACTGGGTCTCGTCATGTTCATGATGGCCCCCTCCGGCAAGACTGAGGAGCCCCCCAAATCCGAGTCCTTACGTCTCCCCGAGTGCTGAGCTCCGCGTCGGCCCGCTACGCCGCTGCGGGCTGCGTGGTGCGCATCCCAGCAGCGCGCAGAGCTCCAGGAGCTCGTGTCCATGCCGTCCCCCTGTCTTCCGAGGCTCCGCCTTCCGAGGCGGGCTCCGCCTTCCGAGGTGGATAAATCCCCGCCTCGAACCCTGTCCCTCGGGCTCCCCCCGCCCTCGCCGCCCTCCGAGCCGCCCTCTCGGCCCTCGCGCTCCACCGCTTCTCCGCACAGCCCCTCCATCGGAGGGCACCAGCTGTACGGTCCGGCCGATGTGCACACAGGGTCGAGGTCGGCTCGGGGAGGGTACCCTGATGTTCTTCGGGCGTGTTGGATGCTCTTGTGCATCCTGGGGGAGGGCACCCTCGAATGTTCTTCAGCGTGGGCCAGCGGAGGGCTTCATGTTCTTGAAGGATGTTCTTCTGTCCTAGTCGGCTACACGCAAGAGTGACCCCTGGCAAGAGTGACCTTTGGTGCGCGGCCCAAGGGGTGGCGCCCTTCGGGGACACCACCAGGCGCGCAAGCCGCTGCTATCGCATCTCATTCAGCGATCGGGGGGGCCCCATTGGGCCCGCACCAAAGGCCACTCCTGCGAAAGGTCACTCCTGCGTGTAGTTGACCCGGGTCCGGCCGTACACCTGCGCCCGATCTTGGCCAGGATCGGTGCAGGTGTACGTATGGTCTGCGCCTTCCTGCTCGATAGCCGCTCCAGGGCTCGCAAACCCGGGGCGGCCCGGCTGGCGAAGTCTGGCCTCCGCCCCAGCCGAGCGCCGTTCAGCTCTGCGAGCGGCCATGGGCGCGGCGCCCTCCGGGGAGGCCGCCGCCAGCAGCGCCGCGCAGGGCAGCCCGGCCGGGCCAGAGCGCCCCGGGCTGGCCTCGTGGGCGTCGATGGCCGACTTGGCGCTGGCCACTCGCAGGATGAAAGTCATTCCATCGCTGCCCGCCGAGTGCCAGGTCGAGGCGCTGCGGGCACTCTGGCGCAACCTGCGCTGGGTGCAGGCAGGCACACCACTGCTGCGCCCGAGCGAGCCCAACGACCGCATGATTGTGATCGTCCAGGGCGAGGCAGAGGCAGTCTTTGGCGGCTACGACCTGGCGCACATCCCACTCCTGCCAGCAGGATCCTTCGTGGGGGAGGCCGCGCTGGTGGTGCCCAGCAGCGCCGGCGTGGCGGACTCCAGCCACCTCCATCTGCCTCATCTGGCTCCCGAGCGCTTACGACCACTTCGCTGCCTCAGGCGGCGAGCCCTGTTGCCAGGACCATTGCAAGCCGAGGTGGAGAGCTTTTTGCGGACCAGCCGGGGATTGAAGTTCAAGGGATGGGTGCGCACCACTCGAGAGTCGCTCGTGGCGGATCTCACCCGGAAGGAGTTCCTGGCAGCCGTCGCGAGGCACGACGCGGGGTCAGCGAGTGGCCTCTCGGAGTTGGCGCATGTCCACTGCAACGTGTGGCAAAACGTGAAGACGTTCGGGGAGCGCCGCGAGCTGGGGGCCCAGGACTTTGCAGCCCTTCGGGTCGTCTGCGAGGGCCCCACGAGGGTTTCCTGCGCGGGCTTCCAGCGCGGCGCTGAGGTGGCGTGGGGCGCGCTGCTTGCAGACGGCCCCTTTGGCGCATGCGCGGGACCAAGTCGCGCGGCCGCCAGGGCGGCGCCAGCTTGAGCTTGCATTGCCTCCTTCCTTGCACGGGTCTGACCTTCCGCTTTCCGTTTTTCTCGTTGCCAGATGCGCCCTGCTGTTTCCAGCACGACCGCCATGTTCTGGATTGCGTTCGAGATGATCAGATCTTACGATAGCCCTTGCTCGTACACTCGGAATAGAGTCTCGGATGCTCACGTCCTGAATATTGGGAAGAGGCTCGCGATGATCCCGCGAGCAGTTGCATTGTACAGTGGCAGAGTTGCGCGCTCGAAGAAAGATGCCTCTCCTCGTCAGTTTGGAAGTCCCACATGTCTCCAGATCGGAAGGAAAGTGGCTGATGGCCGTTAACGAAGATGGCCCCACGCTGCACAATATGGACAAGGTGTGATACGTGTTGCTGCGTCTGCAAAACCGTTGTTGTGAACGCCGGCCTTGAAGGTGGGACCTCCCTGGGGACCCGCTTGGATCCCGGGGGCGGGGGCGGCATTCTGGCCCCAGACCGCCCTCCCCCACTACAGGCAGGACATCCCAAGAGACCCTCCTACAGAAACCCCTCCCGATGGGGTGACACCCACCTGTCCTCCCTGTCCACGGGGGACCGGGGAGGCGAGGGAGGGCCGCCGGGACCCCGGGAGCGTGCAGCAATCTGACTGGGGACCACCCCCCTACCCCCTTCCCGTCAGGGAAGGGGAAGGGGAGGGGATCGGCTTGACTACGACGTTTCTTTGCTCTGTCCGTCTCTAAATTTCTTTGGGACTGGCGACGACGACGACGACGAAGACGACGAAGACGGCGACAACGAAGACGACGGCAGCGTCTCACACACGCCGAAGAGTCCGCGGACTCTGCCATTGGATGCAGAGACCTGCTTGTGAACACACGTTCAACGCAACGACAGCAAAACGCAACGAAGGCCCTTGCATGTCATGTCGCGCAGTTGGGGCTTCTGTTCTTTGGATAATGGGTATCACACAATCGCTTGGTTGGTCAATGCCGGAACGGGCACGCAGATTGAGAATGGTTTATGGAAGGAGCAAGGGTTCGGAAGTGATTTGCAGCCCCGAAAGCGTCGGCCCGTTCATCAGATTCCCCAGCCATCCTGTGACGCTGGGTCCTCGTTTTGCATCCGCAGCGCCGCGCCCCAGATCCTGCCTGTTCTCCTCCCCCCTCCTCCTGTTTCTCCCAACCCTCCTGTATCGCGGGGCCTTCGCTTCTTGTAATTATGCAGCGCCGCGCCACACCTTCTCCTCCCCTCGTCCTCTACCTCCTTCTCCTCCTCCTCCTCCTCATCATTTTTGCATTGACCATACCTTACATTGGGATATGTTTCCTCCTCCTCTTCCTCCTCCTCCTCATCCTCCTCCTCCCCGTCCTCCTCCTCCTCCTCCTCCTCCTCCTCCTCCTCCTCTCCTCCTCCTCCTCCTCTCCAACCGTAGCCA